GCGAGTTATCTGATGTTGTTTCCCAGCCGGACGAGGTGAACCCTGTAAGGGACTAAACGACATTTACCGGGGAGGGGGGGCCGGTCATTCGGGGGTAGCGTAAAAACATTTTTCCGATGCACGCACACCACTGGGAAGGGTGCAAATGAAGTTTCAAAATCTTCAGACAAGCCTTCCCTACATTTTTGGTCGGTATCGTTTCGATTGACGCGATTTTAATCCATGTACTTTGGCTGTGTAGTCCAGTTTGGCCGATTCTGGCGAAAAATGCAAGATTTTGAAGGGAACTGTGGGAGATTAGGGCGAATAGATTATAATCATAGGGATGAATATTATTGGAACGTAACATTATGCCGATTCCAATGACCGGCAAATCGCTACAATATGTATGGACAGACGTTTAATCATGTTTTGATCGTGTATAAAAAGGTTGTAGAGTTAAATGGATTTTGGAAGAAATTTTTACCTAGGCCCTCCCTTAAAGTAAACTATTTTTTCCTAAGCCCTCCCCCCTCAGACGACCGGCCCTCCCGCCCCCGGCAAATAACGTACAGTTCCCAACGTTTAGGTCAAATAAACACGGGACGGTGGGCCTCGCGTTCCTATTTCGCGTGACACACATGTTCCTGGTTTACTGGATATGCCAGCCTGGCATAGCCTGGCTTGTCATTGTGAGGAGGAAGTTGGGTCTCAGTAGTCAAATAGTCTACTGTTGTTGTTTCTTGTGTGTGTCAGATTGTGCAGATAACGTTCCTATGTTGGTCTGTTAACTAGCGATGTTTTTGTTTGTCACCTGACTATGGATAGTGATGTTTGTATTACTCCAGTAGTTAGTTCTAGTAGTAGTAGTAGAGGGATGTTTTTGTTTTACCGCAGATGTCGATGTTCGTATGTATATGCCAGGTAGTGGAGATGGTTATATTTCTGTTTGTATGTCAGATTGTTAGGCTAGCATTTTTTTTTATTTGCCCTGCTCCCAGGTTAGGAGTCGAGCGAATAGTTGAGGGATGTCCAGTCAGGCGTGTGCTACACTAGTAGTTGTTTACCTTTCACCTAATGTTGAACTAAGCTTATAGGATGAACCAAAAATTTGTCATGTGAGATTGGTATCAACTGATTACAGATCTTAGTCTGAATATGTTGACTGTATTCAGTGATATTGGTTAGGTGATATTTATTTTTGTGGAACATAAAACTAGAAGATGTCATTTCATTGGCTGCAATCCATTAGGTATACTCCTTGGGGACGTCTTTCCTCGGGAAGTCGTTGATGTCTCAACACATCAGTATACATGTGTGATTGCATGGCCAAATAATTTAATCTTCCATGTACTGTTCTTGTGTACATTTAGAAGAGGTGGGGTAATTGAAAAAAATTATGTGTCTTGCTCTTAATGGAGTTGTGCTGAGAGTCATGTTCTGGTGCAATGTTGTCCTTGTGTCCTTTGTTCTCCATCCTAATTCTTTTTGTACAGTCCCATTCCAGAGCTAAGTGGCACATTTTTTGCATGTTTGTGTTGGTTATACAGCCTGGTCATTTGCCATCCCGCCTATCATGTTCCCTTTGGTGGGTAACCAAACTGATTTGTAGTGTAACTGTAGTTTTGTGCTCATGCTTTGGTGATCTTTGGTCTCTGCTTGCCTGTTCTGTGTTTCACCTGTATAATTCCATTTGAAAAGCACCACACACACACAAATACAAATAAAATAAAAGAAGCCATCTAACAGTCTTTCCTGTGTACTTTAGTATCATATTGTGGTTTCCTCAACAGTTTTCAACCAGTTTTCTCCACCCTTCTTGGTTTTCTCAATGTTTCACTAAGTATTGTGCCTGTCTAGTTTCTAATATTATCCATATTTTATGTTGCCTACCCCTATTTCTTCCTCCCTGGAATGTTCCTTGCATGATAGCTATAACTTATAACTACTCGCAAGGCCTGTGACACATGGCCATACCACGTCAGTTTGACAAACTCAATCAAAATTAGGGAACATCCTCTCCGCCACACACACACACATACACAGCGCCATTCACTAATTTAAATAACAGTCCCAGCATGCACCATACATTCTGCAACATACATTACAATACCCGGAGGTTCAAAATCTACGATTTTCCTTGTTAAAACCTTAAGAGAACTATACCTATCAAGACGGCACAAGGAGGGTCCACTGTTTAGGTTCTGCAATGGAGCATTCCTGACAAAGGCAAAACTGACTAAGATCTTGAGAGAAGCATTGGATATGTCAGGGATCAATTCCAGCCATTATGCCTCTCATGAAGAAAGATTTGCCATTCCACTTTGGTACAAAGGTGTCCCATACTGCTAGGTCCTTCCTAAAGCCTGATGTCAATTTTATGCGGTGTCTCGGTAGTTTAACCCCCCTAGTCAGAGCTATCATACGTTGCAGGAAGGCTCGGCCTGCTGGGATGATGGCACATACCCAATTAAGCACCCCTATCAAGGACTGTAGTTCCTTCAAAGTGCATCGAGTTCGCGACCCCCAATTTAGAAAACTACTCTTCAGTCGTTGGAGTTTGTCGGATGGTAACCGTGCCTCCTGTGTCACTGAGTCAAGTTCAATTCCCATGAAGACTAAGACTTGTGACGGCCCTTCTGTTTTTTCCTCGGCTGTCGGGACCCCCAAGTTATGAAGCACCTGTTAGAGTGTTTCAAGCTTTTGTTTACATGGACGGGCATTTGGCCCTGCAGTAGCCAGTAAAAATCATCCAGGATGTGGATGACCTCAGTTATTTGGTAGTTGTTCTTTAGGATCCATTCTAACATATCCGAGAAAGTGCTAAATATGAATGACGCGGACCTTAGGCCAAAAGGGCAAGCATTTGTCATAGAAATACTTGTTATTCCAACAAATTCCAAACAATTCATGCTCATCTTTATGTAGTGGAATAACTTTGTACGCTGACTTTATATCTGTCTTAGCCATGAATGCTCCTTTTCCTAGACGTTTCAGCATGGCGATAGTATCATCAATAGTCACATATTTCACAGAGAAATCAGTTTTTGAAATGGAGTCATTGATGCTCTCCCCTTCTGGGTAGGACAAGTGATAAATGGTCCTCCAGGCACTGCTGTGTTTTCTAGGCACCACCCCAATTGGGTGGTATTGGAATTAGTATCATAATTACACATCTCAGGGGTCTTTGGGTTATTTTTGGATGGGGCGACTTGTAACATCAATTGTTATCATGAATACTGGTTTTGCTTTGGACCCAGGGCAATTTTGTTTGCCATGACTGATTCCCTCACACTGGCTACGCACATGTTTGAACCTGCAGTCAGCCCTACGCCATCCTCGAGGTGAGTTAAAGCCGAAACAGAATGCTCCCTGGTCTGACCGACCTGGTTTTAGCTTGACCCTGCTGGGTCCAGATTTCAACAATTTAGCTGGGCAAAAATCTCTGTTACAGTGTTGGTAGCCTCAGGCTCAGGACAAGTGATTCACTTTCACTCTCCTTCCCCTTAATTATATCTCTTTCCTTGATGGAGGCGTATCTGGTACTAATACTTGATAGCCTTGTTAGTGAGCAGCACTGTAGCTATACAAGAAATGTGTTTCTGAGTAATAAACTCAAACCAAACAAGATTTTTCTTAGTAAAACATTGAACTTTATTCCCACTTCAACAACGATCAAATTTTTGATGACCACTGTGGCCTTCATCAGGATACTAACTTAATTAATATTAGTCTTGTGGCATGGTATTTAAGTATAAATATGTCTGGAGTTTTGTTGCCAGATGTTTATCCATCCTTAAAGTGTCGAATAATCGTCCATCTCGTCTTCTAATGAAAATATGAAACATTCCCTTAGATTGGATAGTTAGATACATCATAAGTACATACAATGAGCTTTATTCTTTATCACGGTAATTGTAGTTGTATGGAATGAGTTAAAACTTGTTTGTCAAGTCTTCTTAGCGGATTATGTGATATTTCAAAGACTACAATGCTAAGAAAAACAAACAGTTAAAAACGATTAGTAGCTCCTTCCACGTCGTATGTGCTTGCTTTCTCTGGAACATCGGGCGGGTTTCATCGGTCCAAACTTTTTCTAACGTGTTGAGGGCCCGATTTTGTTCTCCCCGAACTTCCAAAGCGAGTCATTCTGGGTCGACCTCAACGACATAAAGAAATTATGTGCATAATAAAATAGTGAGTTTTTTTCCACAATGTGATAAGCAGGGGTCCGTCCAGTGGTAGAGTTTTGTTTTTTATGAGAGGGATGATCTTAGCCTGTTTCCACTGAGTAGGAAATATTCCCTGTCTGAATGAAGAATTGAAAATGTGGCACAGAGGTCCTGATATGTAGTCTGCAGAGATTCTTAGTAACGTCGATAGTATCAATTCCTGTGGATTTACTAAATGGAAGAGAGTGAAGTAACTTTTGGACTTGGCTCACTGTTACTTCTTGAAAAGAAAAAGCGCAGTCTTGGATGCCATGATTTTGTCCTCAATCGGTGCTGTTATACCGTCTAGGTCTGTCACCTCCCTGTGTGAGACTATCCACTTTATTAATGAAATATTCATTGAAGTATTCAGCTATTTCAGTTGGTTTTGTGTATATTCTTCCATCTGTCTCTGACAGGGTTTTGCGTGTGTTTCTACCAAGTATTTCGTTGATAACAGCCCAAAGCTGTTTAGTGTTCCCGTCCTTACAACTGACTGTTACATAGAAATGACGTACGTGTACAAAAGTACGTCTCCATATCACCTTCATCGACGATCAAAGTTTATCCAGTCCCATTATGATTACACAGCAATCCTTCTGTTTCTCATGACCCCCAGGCTGTCACTGCACTCTTAAAGTCCAAGTCATTGACACTGGGGCCATCTATACTGATGGTCAGCAGAGCATTGAGGGTGTCATTGTCTTGACCCGCTTCGGGGTTGCTGAAGGACCTCTCACTGTCAGCAGTGCTGACTGGGATGACCATCGGTACTGATGCCAACAGCTTCATGCTGGGGTACAGCTCTGCCAAGGTGGTTTCTGTCAGGCTGTGGATTCCCTCATCCTCCATGTATGGGCTTTCCTCCACACTGCCTACTTCCAGTGGAAGCTGCAGCTTCGGATGTGCACGTGCGGCAGCATCTGGGGGATGACACGCCACATGGTCTCGTCATAGTCTACGCCGCACTCCTGAACACTGATGTGCTCAGGCAGAGCGTCCAGCAGCTCGTTGAAGACTGTACTGTAGTCTCCCTTGTGTTTGCCCGACATGAGGGCAAATGCCAGTGGGACCTACATTACAGGACAAACATTGGTATTCATGATGTATGAGCAGACTTAATACTTCAGAAATATTACATGCTCCTGCTTCTCTCCATCATAGTAGTATCAGTTAATCTTCATGATTAGCAACTCAGTATTTAAAAAAAAATGACCATACAATGAAATTCTTTTAAAAATTCTATTCCCACCTGTTTGATCTGACCACCACTGCGGAGGAAGGCGTGGACGGACAACATCTGCACGAAGGGTGGCCGAACAACCTTGAACGTGCCGTCGATGTACCAGCTGCGCGCCGTGGCCAAGATGTCTAGTTGTTGTTGGGTGGCGAACAGTCTACGTTGCCACTGGCGTCCTATCACGGGGATGTTGTAGCGGAGGAAGTCATCCGGGATGAAATTCAACTCAAAGTTCATGAGGCCCCTTGGCTCCTCGGGTCTTATCTTGGCCTTGGCCCTGATGACCCGGCGTAGCAGTGCGGCATGTCCTCCATGTCCTGTCCATGTCCTGGCTGGTGAGCAAGATTGTTCTTATCCTGTTATAGTCCCCCAGCACTAACCTCCATCTGGACTGGAATCCTTGATCAGTCTTCAGTGGGCGAGGATGCCTAGGTGGGGGATACACAAGGCCTCCACCAACCGTGCTTTGAAGAGTGAGATGCAGGCACCCTGCTGACAAGAAAGCCCTGCACATGAAAGATGGTTTAATGAGTGATTGACCTTAAACTGCAATATATGAAGATGTGGTCCCTAGGTCTTGGCTGCTATACATGGGAGGTTGCCTGAGAAAACAATCAGACCAAATGCTTCCAACTAAAGAAATAGACAATGCATCAAGTACTCCACTAAAAACTTTCAAGCAGAAATATATGAATCTTGGCAATAATAATATAGTCGTTTTGCTTTGCCTCTTTTCTATGCTATGCATTAAAACATAGAAAAAAATTCAGACTTTTTTTACACTGTATTATTAGGCTGCAATGTTGTTTTAGTTT